TTCAAACATTGTTTTGCTTTTGATTTTGTATCTATAGAGAAATGTCGTCGGTTGGTTTGAAAAGCGCTCGTGTTAATCGAATAAATAAACGTGAATTAGATGCAAGTATGTCTTTTGCTTTTATGATCCTTGTTTTCTATAGATTATTTGATTAACGATTTAGTTGATACCAGGCAGAAGGAAAAGAGAAGTCGAGTATGAAAATAAACAGTCATATATTTTTGAGAATCAATACATTTTGTATATCTACTGTAACATTAAAAAAACCTTGACAAATGAGAATGAAATGTTTGATGTAAGTACTACTTTTATTATAATTTTGTATATTTTTGGACTCGATGATTGGCTAAATCACTGACGTATAAAGTAGAATTGGAATCAAACGCAACACTTGTAGGACAATCTAAATGGGTACTATCAGTTCCTACACCATCTCCAATAATTGTTATACCTTCACTTATGTTTGATGCACAGTACATTTGTATACGGTTATTATAACAGTCAGCCACATACAGGTTACCATAATCATCTCTTGTAATACCCAGAGGATGGTTTAACAATGTTGAATTTAGTCCTGACGGGCCAACTAGAAATGTTCCGGTCGATGAACCTATGGACCATTTTGCAACTGTGTTCCCACCAGAATTTGAAACATACAAGAGAGAATTCGTTTCATCTACGTAAAGACCCCACGGTAAATTTAGTTGGTTAGTATTATTACCAGCGATACCAGAGCCAGCCACGATTGTTCCAGTCAAAGCTCCCACAGGAAATTTAATCACATAATTAAAAACAGCATCGGCAGCATATATGGTTCCAATTGAATCAACCCAAAGACCACACACTCGTTGAATGAATGTTGAATTTGCACCAGCTATATTTGTACTTGTAAATGAATTAGTCCACAATCTTATCCGATATGAACTTAAATCAGCTGTATAAATAATTTGATTTTTATCAACATAAACAGCTGTTGGAAGAAGCAAATTTGTTGGAGTATTAAGACCCGTTCCATTTCCAACAACAGTCGTTATGACCAATGAACTTAATACTACTTTTTGTATACGATGATTCTGTGTATCAGCTATGTACATATGATCATATTTATCAATAACTAAAGTATAAGGTGAATTCAGTTGATTTGCTGTTGAACCAGGTGTGCCATTGCTAGCAATGGTTGTGCCATTCGTATCCCATCGAAAATTACCTAAAAGTAACTTGTTTTTGTGTTTAATACAGATTCAATAGAACGCTAAAATAAAAGCGCAATACTTACATGGATTGGCGGTGGTTGTCGAAGCTTAAAAAATGACAATAAGTTATTGATCAAAAGAAGAAGCGAACCGATTTTATTCGCTTAAAAACCATGATATAATCAAGACTTTCCTATATATATGTATTTATGTGTCGTAGGGAATACTGAAATTCGGCGAAATTCCAGATTTCGCTAGGGAAACTGGGATCTCAGTTTTCCTAAGAATGGAATTAGCGTAACGGGAATAGATTTCAGGTTATAGACACAAAATAAACTTTTCACTAAGATCAATGGAAGATCATATTTCTTGAAAGTCATTTTTTGCATCTTTTTGTCCTCTCTTCTCGCTCCCTAATTCATTATGAACCTAAATACCACCCAGAAAGAATAATGAACTATATGTTGTACAAAACAACAATAACGTACTACAAGTGCTAGATAAATTTTTATAGTATTAAAACAAGAGGAAAACAAAATCTCTTTTACCGAAATTTCCGTGTGGCAAGGAGTACAAAATTGTGGGAAGGGGAGGGAAAGGTGCAAAAAATGACCTTCAAGCATTGTGACTTTCATTGATTTTGATAGAAAAATTTATTTTGTTTCTATAAGGAGAAATCTATTTCCATTACATTAATTCCATTCTTACCTGGAAAAATGGAATCGTCATATGTATGCATTTTAGTTTCCTCTAGGGAGAATTTGGATTCCAGTTTTATCTAGCGAAACCTAGAATTTCACTGGAGAAAAGTGGAATAGAGCATGTGCACGCACATGTATCTTAGTTTTCACTGTAGAATACTCGGTTTCAGTTCTCTCTACCGTAATCTAGAATTTCATTGAATTCCAGTTTTCGCTACAACATTAATAAAAAAAAGTAAAAGTCTTGTTCATATATTTCACGTCAAGGTTGTTTTCTTGAATCAAGTTTCGAGAAGTTAGTGTCCATAACTTTATTTTTCTTTTCTCAATATAATTTTTTATTGTTTTTTCGAAAAAAATGAACTTCACAAAGTATAAACATTAGTTAGCCTTGTTGTTGTTGAATATTTGGTTCGATTGAGAAAAAGAGGACATAAAAAACTTTTTTAATAAAGAAAAAATGTGATTTCAGACACCGTGATATTTTAAGTTTTCTGAATTTACTAACAAAGTTCGAAGAAATACTCTTTTTCGAGTAAAGGAACTAAACTTGTAACATACTTGTTGTAATTTTACTTTGTAATAGAGTGGTAATAAGTGTTATTAAAACAGCAAAAATTGATAAACAACCAATCAATGCTAATGGTAAGAATAAGCAGACGAAGGGCCGCCGCGTGCCACATCTTGGTAAAGTAAGAATGAGCAAAAGGTTAACGTAAAATAGCTAACCTTTACTTGAATAATTACGCACCGATTGAGTTTTCGTTTTTTCTGCTTTCTTTCTTTGCTTAAGATAATACTTTTTGAATCACTTAACCATGCATTTCTACTACTCTTTGTTGGTTGCGCAACTGCCGATAATATCTTAATTAAAGTGAAGATATTCTTCATAGATAGATATTTTAGATAAAAGTTTTCTACGTGTTTGTCTTGAAAAAAAAATTAACTATATTCACCTAAATTCAATCAAGTCGAATTTCTTCTAGAATGTTTCTCTTTCTGTAGAAAAACTTGCGATAATACAAAAATGCTTTTAGGCTAAAAACTAGTCTCAGAAGTATTGCCGTTGAGAATGAGATTAGTACCGATGATTATGATCGAGATACGTGAGACAAGCATACGTCCCTCTTATTCGGTCGCAACTCCAGAGACAAAAGAAGAGGCGAATTGGATGAACGCGCTGATCCGACCTGGTCAAATAGAAAAAACAAAATCTTTTTGCTGTTTAAAGGCCAAAAGTTTGAAACTTGAAAATTCCACAAGATTGCTTTGTTTCTCTGATAAAGCTTCGGCACGTATTATAGTTTAGGCATTTTTCTCTGCAGCCACCACTGACATAGCTCTGGTCCATTGTCAACAGTATTTTTATTTGAACGTAGAGTTAGACTAGCATGAAGATGTTGTTCAGCATGAGAACTGCAAATAATTTCTATTGTTTTCGAAGAAACAGTTCGTTTATGTCAGAAAATGCAGCAATAGCACTTAACAGAGAAGGATGAGGAACACTTATCAGTTCGCTGATGCAACGTTAAAGATTTTTTTGAAATTCTTTCTAACTACTTTTACAGTGTAATCGATCCTGACGTGCTGAATAAATCTTCCCACTTATATAAGGTTGCCCGTGCAATGTAGTGCATACCTACCGTTGGCGTCTTTTTTCGTGTCTTTTCATTGTTAAAGATAGTTCCTGAATCAGTTGACCACGCACTCGTATTATTACCTTTGAATGATTGAAAAACTGAAGATAACTTCTTAATTAAAAAACATTTTGCATAATATAGATGCATGTCGAGCTTAAGTATCTTTACACCCGCTTTTGATTTGTGTGTCTGTTTCTGTTGTTCACTCTGAAATTAAGATTTTCGTTATTAACGGTAGTTGTTTTAAGTGTTTTATAAGAATTACGTTAGGACTGTTTAAAGTTTCTTGTAAACTGGAGATAAACGATTGGTTCTTCTGCAAAACAAGAATACTCTGTATACAAGATATACAACACAGAATACACTGACTTCTTACTGATTTTCGTGCATCATTAATATTAAGACTTTCAATATCATCCACTTGCGAAGCTGAATGGCTCTGTAAAATCTCTATTTATTTTCTTAAAATATTATCATTATGAACGCTTACTTGCAAACGATGTTGTCGACTACGATACTGAAGAGGTTGTATTGCACTATTGTACGCTTTTCTCGAGGATCCATTCTAAATACATAAAAACAATCATTAATTCAAAACTATGACACTAAAAAGCCCTCACTTCTTGTGACTTAGACCTTTGTAATCGAATATGATTTTCTATCTATAATACACACCAAGATAATGTATATTGTGATTTTAACAGAGTTACACACAGCTCTTACCGTACCTTCAACGAAACTTCGATTCCACTTGTGAATCCTGGTCGATGCTATAAAGTAAACATACAAAATCTATCCTATAGATTCTCAAAAATATATAACTGTTTATTTTCATACTCGACTTCTCTTTTCCTTCTGCCTGGTACCAACTAAATCATTAATCAAACAATCTATAGAAAACAAGGATCATAAAAGCAAAAGACATACTTGCATCTAATTCACGTTTATTTATTCGATTAACACGAGCGCTTTTCAAACCAACCGACGACATTTCTCTATAGATACAAAATC